ACTGTCCATTCTACCCTGCATTGCCTCTGCCTCTCCTCCAGCATCTGCCTGGCCTGGATCCCCTCCACTCAGCTAGGTTGCAAGAGTCCCATGGTATGCCCCCACACCTTCCCTGACTTGCTCAGTAAAGGCAGTGATACCCCAGTGTTAGTGCCGCGGGACTGTGTGTGTGTGTCCTCTTCCATGCATCTGTTGGCCTCTTATTCCTGCCATCAAAGCTTGCAAGGCAGGCACGTGGCACCACTTGCTGAGCTCTGAGAGCTCCTCCAGGGCTCACATGTGGTGCCTTTGGTTGGACTTTAATCATAACCAAATCAGTAATTAGAACCTGGCACCTACTCTAAACTGTCTTCTATGTAAATAGGGCATCTGATTTGTGCTGATGCTAATGAAGCAGACGCCCTTGTCTGAGGAATGTTGAAAACACCAGCAGGAAGGCCCAGGAGTATCTGCAAGAACAAGTGCCTGCCAGGTTCCTGTCAGCGGAGGGCTGAGGTTGATGTAAGATGGATAAAATATTTTGACAACATGAAGCCAGAAGCCCTTAAGGTATGGGAAAAAAAAAAAAAACAGCTGGCTTTTGCCATCCGTGGAATCGTAAATTTCACAGGCTGAGTCACAGCTCTTGTTATTCAGGTATCATCAATTGAAATCTCCCCACTTGAAGGATATGATCCAAGAAACCCACCCACATGCAAGCTGAAGTGAGGCTGGGAGCCTGGTGGGCTGGGTGGGAGGATGGGCATGACAGCAGCATCCAGGGGGCTTCTCACCGAAGCACAGCCAGGGTGAGGGAGCTGCCCTGGCTGGCAGTTGGTCACCTAGAGACAGTAAAATGCTGCCAAATCCAACTCCCTGCACTTTTCAAAGGGATACAATATTGCACAAACAGTGCCAGGCTTGTCACCAAGGTTGACGCCCCACCTCTGCATGGCCCATCTCTTGTCCTGTGGGCAGAGATGGGCACCCTACACGGACCCAAGATAAACTTCATATCAATGCCTACACAGCAGAACAACTTGGGTCCCTGGGCAGGGGGTGGGGATACACCTGCAGTGCCACCTGCTCCATGGCACTCTATTTACAAACATTTATCAAAATCTCACTACATGCCAGGAAGCAATGATTTAAGTCATGGGCACTGCCCTTGAGATGATACCTGGCTGGTGAAAAAAATGTGAGTGTAGCAGAATAAGGGCACCACCACAGGATGCAGAGCCAGATATATGGGAGCTCTGTTATAAGACCTGGTGGATGAGAAGGTGCCTGGAACAGAAAGGCACTCAAGGTGGAAACCCTTACTACCATCACCACCACCATCATTGTGTTAGTCAGCTTTGGGTCACTATAACAAATACCAGGCATGTCAACTTATAAAGACAAAAGGGTTATTTTGGCCCACAGTTTCAGCTCATGAGCAGTGGCCCTCGTTTTAGTCTTGTGGCAAGGCAGTACCTCATGGTGGGAAGGCGTGGCAGAGCAAAACCAGCACCTCGAGGCTCGACAGGAAAAAAAAAGAGGAAGAAGAAGAGACAAGGACCCACTATACCCTTCAAGGGCACAACCCCAATGACCTACAGATTTCCCATTAGGCTCCACTCCTTAAAGGTTTCACCACCTCCCAGTTGCATCTTTCTAGGAGCAAGCTCTTATCACATGAACCTTTGGGGACTATGAACTATTGCAAGCATCCTTACCATCTTTAAAATCACTACCCCCCCATCATCACCACATTGGCATGATCATCACCATCACTATAATCACCATCCCTATCACCATATCACCACCACTACAACCAGGAACAGTAGCCATAGCAATACATCATTGCAGTGCCGGTATGAAAGAGACATATTCAGTTTTCACATATTATTTCATCTCAGAAATAACCAGACCCCTGGTGGGAATGCTGCTTCCTGCAGAGCTGGTGTAATGTCAAGTTGCACGGTTCTGCAGGAGGACGTGCAATAGTCCAAGGGAGCACTGGGCAATGCTGTTCTCAACTCCTGACTACAACTAGAGGTCTTTTTTTTTGTTTGTTTTCAGGACACTATCTGCAGAGAGTGAAGGATTTTACTCACTTCAGGATGCTGAGCCTCTGTGTCAAGCCTTTATGGCCAGAATTAAGACAGCTGTGTGGTAGCTGGCATCCAGGGCTGGGAGAGAAGGCCTGCCATGGAGAAGGGCACATGGAAAAGATGGGGAATTTTGCAGTTTTCACTGTGTGCATGAGCCTCAGATGGCTGAAGTCAGGAGCTGCTGCACTGTCAATGGGACTTGGTCTCATAGCCAATGATGTGGGAATGACGGGTTGTACCATCCTGGGCACATTATGATTCCTTTCACTCTTGCTGGGCCCTTCCGATTCAACATACTGGAAATGAGAGACATGTACCGGGGACCCCAGCAAAGCAGTCTTTGCTTTCCTCCTGACAGAGGAAAATGGCCCCTGGACACTTTCAAAGTGCAGATTTTTTAGCATCCCAACCTTCTGAAGATGTTCCGGGGTCTCAGAATCTGCTGGTTAACCACCATACTTCAATGAGTTTCCCTAATAGTATCTAGGGATTTTTTGCTTTCTGTTGGTCATCAACCTAGCCTTTTGCAATTTAAGAAATGCAAGTGAAGGTACTGAAATTTCAACATCAAGAGGGTTCAAGTGTTCTCCCTACCTGCCAGGGAGGAAAGGAACATTCCCTTCCCCACCCATTTGGGCTGGAAACAGATATAAACATTCTATCAAGAAGAGATGTCTTCAACTGAGATCCAAAAGCCAGTTGCACAGGTTGTTTGGAGGTCACCTGTACCATCCAGGCCTCTTTATATAAGTCACAGGCTTGCTCCATCTCCCAGCTAAGTGCTTACCTAAAACAGGAAGCTTGAGCTGGAAGAGGGAGCCGGCTGGAGGAAAAGCATGGGTGGCTCTGCCCAGGTCCTAGTGCTGAGTAGCACTTAAGTGCCCATGATCCCTGCTTAGGAACAAGCAGCACATTTGCAACGAGTTTCCTACAAGAAGGTCATTTTCAAATTTCAAGAAGATCTCAATGATTTGTATCCAGTTTGCATATATCTGATCTTCTGAAATCTCTACAATTCTAAAGATACAAAAAAAAAAAAAAAAAAAAAAAAAATCGGGCAATGGCCCAAGATGCCTGTTGAACATGAATAAATTAACAAATATTTTAAATCTTCATGATCACTCACCCAAGCACTAAATTTTACTGGTTCAATTGAAATATCAGTCCTTTAATTTCAAATTTGTAATTATTTTTAAAATAAAAATAGTTACCGAAGATTTGAAATTTAAATTATAATGCCAGGTATTAAAGTAACAAGTGCATCAAGTAATTTAAAAACAGCCAATGTAAGGGAGAAAAATAGGACTTGGCCTTCTCAATCCCAGGCTTTATACCTATTTCATTACAACAGGAACAGGAATCTCAAAGGACTGAATTCAGTCCAATGGAAAATAGTAACCTGAAGATACCATTGTATGGGTCCCTGGGCATAAATGACTTTTCCTCACACACACTGCAGCCTCTTCCAAATTTCAGGAGAAATTTTAATCCCAGAGAAAAGACTCATAATTTTAATTTTTCCAAGTAATTTTTAAAGAAGGTCTATTGAGATAAATAGCATGCCATTGTGCAGGTTTTGTTCCCACTAAAACCTTTTTTCAAACCCAGAACTTCTTGAATGCATTGGTGTTTAGACCTGGACAGAATCCTTGGTCACTGCTACTATTGCTGTTGTGGTGGCTGTGGTTGTTATATGGATGTATTGTAGAGTCTGACAACCTAATTGAGGGAGGCTCTTCCAGCTCAGTGAGGTGATGTACATGGTATGAGTTACTCAGACCAGCCCACTCTTTGCTCACTGGTGATCCCAGTACATCAGAGGTGATGTGAATTGGCATTCTTCCCACCTTCCATCACCAAACACTGGGGTAGGACCTCCTTTTCATAGACAGTGTAACACACTCCATCCCTTACCACGGAAGTCACAGGGTCAGCTGGTAGCCCTACTCATCACGGAAGCTGGAGTCTTGTCTGCAAAGCATGCATTCTTGCCTTGAGTGACCCAGACCTGAGTCAGGCTGCAATCCTCACTTGTCTGCTTCCAGAGAGGGAACAGACTCTGGGTCCATCCCACCTGTGCAAACCTGAGAGGACCATGAAGCCAACTGACACTGTAGCCAATGTGAAAGTAACTCAGGGGTGGATCCCTCTAACCAGGGTCTGTGGGAAGATGAAAAGGGCCACTAGGCCAAGATGCCAGACTGATGCTCAACCTCCAGACACACCTCTCCATCACTTCATTCCCCAACCTTCAAATTCAATGATGTGCCTGGCACTCTTCCAGAACAATCCAGGTTACTATCAAATGTTCCCCATGTTAGAGAGGGAGACATGAAGGCCAAACGGGCCCATGGAGTTGGCTACACTCACCTTAGCCTTGGAGGAGGCTCAACAGAAAGAGGAGCACAGGGATGGACCTGTAATTTATGGATGGGATAACTATCCTTCCTCCATTAACCTACTAACATTCTTTGAGTGAGAAAGGCTTTACTATTAAGCACATAGTGCAGATATGGAAACCAAGGCTTGGAGAAGGCATATACTGGCACACAGCCGAGTAGGAGGCAGAGGGAAACCTGCTTCAGGCGGCTTGGCTGCCAACATTCTCCTCACTGGCTGGCTGCAGCTCTAGCAGACATAACCAGAGTGAAACGAAGGCCCAGACAGCCCTCTTCAGCCAGCTGGGCCCGATCCCCGCCCTGCACTGGCTCTAATGGCAGGTTTTGTGCCCTGTTCTTTCCACCCTTCAAATGTGCGACCAAGGACCCATGGTGGCACAGTACTATTTTGATCTGAGGTCACCATTCTATATGACAATAGAATCTGTGAGAGGAATATTCCCCACTGTGAGAGTTTCGTTAAAGCTAACCACCCAGTCGGCTCCTTTCTCATCAAGTGTCAATATGCCATGGAGTGCTGGCTTACCTTGACGCCCGGGGTTCCTGCTGGGGCCCTCGGCTGGGTCAGGCAGCCTGCTGCTCACCCGGAGCCCACCTCCCATGCCATCTGGACACACGGGGCCATTGGCCAGGCTGTTGAGGGTGTTAATGTGGGTTGGGTAAGGCTCAAAGGTGGGGTCCAGCTCCAAGATTAGCCTGTTGAGTTGTTCAATGGACTGGTCTATGTCCAGGGTGGGAGAGCCTGGGGAGGGGCCCACGTTCAGGTCCTGGCTGGTTCCGTTCATGACCTTATCTTCTGGAAACCTGGGCTGGAACACTTTGCTGGGACAAGGTTGCTGTGTGTCAGGGGGATTTGGTCCATTGCCAATGCCTCTCTGGACAGCCACTCTGCTACTGGTTCCACGGGTTGGGGTGATAGGAAGCCGTGGCTGTGTCTGGGTGAGGCCAGAACTGTCTGCTGTGCCCTGACTGCCTAGCCTGGCCTCCCCATCGGGGGAAAAGCTATACTGATGAGCGGTCACCATCTGTTGCTGACGAACCCAGGTCTGGGTGGAGTAGCTGCTCGGCCCAAAAGCCTGCGTAGGGGTGGGCACAGAGGGTTTCCTCAGTGGAGGCTGTGGCTGCTTAGGCTCTCGGCTTCCAAACGTCCGTTCCCGCTCATAGAGGGCATCCACACCAAGGCCCAGGTCAGGAGCAAGGGTGCCGTGCGGATCCTCACCAACATTGCTACCAAAGCCATCAGACAGGAGGGAGTTCTGGCTGCTCTTGTGGCAGGTGAAGGGACCCAGGTGGGCCGACTGCGGCCCTTCAGAGGAGGAGAGGGTGCCCAGACTGTCGACACTGTGCAGGTCATGGTGGGGCATCTCATCATCCAGAATATCTGTTTCCCGGTCCTTCAGGGTGGCATCTCCATTCACATGGACTTGAGCAGGCACCACATGGCGTGTCCCGCTGTATTTGCTGCGAGCATCAGTCATGTCCTTAAGGGAGCCCCGGGAATCTTCCAAGCCAAAACCACTGAGCAGCTGGTCCAACTCAGCCTTCTCCTGGGGACTCAGGCCCCTCCGAACTCCCGGGGCTGAGCGCTCCTCGGTCTTATCGGTCCTGGCCGAGGCAGTGGAATGGCCTGAGTCACTGCTGACTGACAAGGTGTGGTCACTGTGGTCTGGGCTGCTGGCAGTTGGCACAGTCTGGGGGCTGCCAGGGATGCCAGGATCTGAGGAGCTCTTCTTCCTCACCTTGGCATAGAGGCTGCCATCAACAGGGCCCTGAGTGTGCAGAACTGCAGAGGAAAGCAAGAGACAGGCTGTAAGTCGGGGAGGAGGGAAGCGCAGCCACTCACAGTGGGCAGGGGCACTTGTCTAAACAGATAAATGAATTCACAATACACAACAGGCACAATAACCAGGGACCAACACTGCTGTGGTACCCAAATCCATATATCCTCCGAAGAGTGAATGCTAATGGACCTTCAGATGCTAGAATCACCTTCACCTCTCTATGCAAAAAGAATTGTCCTTCCTTGAAGCTAAGGGAAACTTCATCCTCTGAATCATTTTTGCCTAAAGGGCTCATGATTAATGTCTTTGTAATTTGGAAAGTGAAGTCCACTCAGCTCATAAGTCCCCAAGAACTGACTGTGCATCTAAGACAGGAGAACTTCTATTCATAATCTACCAGCTAAGTGGTGAGTAACAAACTCATTAAATTGATAAATGGAATATGTCGTCAACAAACCTGCTGTCCTCCCAACATTCCAGAATCTGCTAAAATCTAAACATACAACCCAACGGAAAGGGAAAGTACAGGAAAGGATCCTGAGCCTTCATATTTAGCGTAACATCTTTGGGCCACATAGGTGCCTGATGACTGTGTCATAGATGTCATTCCACACACTGACCCCCATCCATGGAATGTCAGGAAAAGAGAAATCAGGCCAGCGGTTCATGCTGGAAGAGCTGAACCCGCTGCTGCTGTTATTAATCAGAGAATTGGCAGTGGCATTCAGAGACTCCCAAGCCACAGTCTGCTGACTGGCAGCCATTCATCGCCTTAGCCACACATGGTGTGTCACAGCAAGAGCCTCCTAAAATAAGCTGGAGTTTGTAGTCAGCACATCTCACCCCGCAGGGACTCCCCCACCCTCCTTCAGTTTCTCAACTGTGAAATTGCAGGCATTCCACAACAGGGGAGCTACAGATGGCTGGAAACCCAAGCTGCCTGGGCACCTAGAATTTGAGACTTGAGCCACCACCGCCTGGCAGCAACTGAGTATGACCCTTCCGCCACTCTGAGGAACCTGCCCTGAGCATGTGCCTCACCAGTCCTCAGGTTCCAGGTTGGAAACATGGCCAAGGTCAGTGGTGGCTGGCTGGAAAGACATGGCAGGGTCTGGAGAGGTATTGGGATACCGTACCAAGAGCTCACAGAACCCCAAGATCACACAGCCCCTGAGAACACACACAGCCCTGGGCTTCCTTCTTCTGGCACCCAAGGGACAGTGTGCAGAGATGAAGGTTATAAGATGGAAACACAGGGGTATAGTCTAGTTTGGAAGACCCAATCCTCATCTTAGAGTAGAGCTTGGGGGAGGGAGAATCTGGGGACAAAAGTGATACACAATGCTGTAAATGAGCAAAGATTTGAAGATAGAGTAATTGCTGACATGAGCACATCCTGGATTGGGCCATGGAATTAATTCAATATAGGGCATTAATGACAGATGCTGTTGACTGAGCCCTGTTATGTACTTTCTATCGTGCACTTTCTCCAAGTCTCACAGTATGACCCAACATAATAAAGTATGAACTTTATTTCTTATTTATCTAGAATGAACATGAACTAAGGCTTGAAGATAATAAATAACTTTCCCAAGATCAAGCAGCTCTCAGGAGGCAGAGGGGGACCTAGAACCCAGGCTCTGAAGCCTGAGGGCCCCTGCAGTCCCTACCTGTAGGAAGAGTACCAGAAGGGCATACACCTGAGACTCTGGGTGGCCCTACCCATGAGGAGTCACATGGCCCTGCCCAGGGACCAGCAAGTGACCTTGGCAGAGCCTGAAACACCTGCTGCACCCAGCTCTATGCAAACCAGACAAAGGGACGCCTGGAAAGAGGCCCATAATAGAAGGCATGTGCAAATGTCACCTCTATAGGTACAAATGGGCATAGTGTAATCTATTTATTGAATCATAAGGTTGTGTAGTGAATGGCCCCTGAAGAAAGGCCTGGCCCCAGACAAACCTAGGTTCAAGCCCTGGCTCCCCCAAGACGGGCCCTCAGGGTTTTACCAACCAGGGTGTTCACCTGACCTTCAACTTCCCAGCTGTAAAATGGGGGGAGGGGTAGATGTTCCACATGAAGGCCGTCCTGGGAAGGAAATGACAGTGCACACACCACTGAGCATCGTTATAGCTCAGAGTAAACACCAGCTTAATTTGGTTTCAGTCCAGGGTGCTCTGTTGCTAGGAAAACTCAACAACAGACGACCTGGTAAATGGGTTCTTCCTCCCAGCCCAGTATGAGGTGGAAAAGAGGAGAGAACATTGAGAAGTGATTTCTGGTCTGTAAGAACCTCAGAGACTCCACACTGGATGCTTGTTGGACTAGTCAGTTCCCTGGACCAGAAAGGCAACCAGAGCACAGACCACTGAACCACACAGCCATAGGAACCAGTCTGCTCACTACAGGAACAGATTTCACGCTGCTGAGATTTTGCGTTTATGACTTCCATAAAGTCATAAATATGACTTCTCCCTAACACCGAATTAACTAGCACGATGTTTTGTTGATTTTTTTTAAAGGAACTCAAGAATAAGTTGTAAAAATTTCTTCTAATTTAAAATGGGATGTAGCCAAAAAATGCCTGTTAATCATTCTGAGGTAGGATCAGTTGGCTAATCACTTACTAAGAATAGTGCATAAACAAGGACCTATAAAATGTAAAAAGCAGGATATTCTCTTGGCTGGGAGGTCATGAATAATCCTATATACTTTCTAGCAGTAGAAATCTTAAAATGATAACAGTAAAATGACCATTTCCATCCACTGGCTATGTATTAGATCCATGCCAAACACAGTTGAGCCTTTAGGAAAAACTGGGTTTCATCCATCTGACAGCCCAGGCGGAATATTGGAGTCTTCCCAGAGGCAGGCAGCCATTGGACAGAGTGGAGCCATGGAGCCCCATGCAGGGACAAAGACCACACTGGGATTTCATAAACTTCTTACTCCACACATAGATAACTTTCAACATCAGAAAATGCCCAACAAATGTTAAATCTTCAGGACAAGAAAATGAAGCAAAGTGATTCAATCCCAAGACTGGACCTGCCCATGCCTCTGAATCATTTTGTAGGAGCACAGATCTTCCTAAAGGGAGGGACTTCCAAGAGGCCATCCCAGAGCTTCACAGACACAGACCTGCACCCTAAAGCCTCAGGGGGAAGGACAAAGAAAGGGCCCAAGCATTTATTATTCCTGTCCCGTTCTCTGTAAAGGGCTACTGCTTTGCAAAGGAAGGACCTGAACTTCTGTTTTGGACAAAGGAAACACCTATGTTCATACTTCGAGATAGAGTCCCAATTTGTCATCACTCTGTGTATGTTGCTGACATGACATTTAGAATGTCTGAGCCTCTGGATCTTCACTGATAAAATGGAATAATTATTTCTATCTTTCAATGATGTTGTAAGAACTAAAGAATATGTATCTACAAAGTTTCCAGCTCATAGGACCCTAAGAAGGGTACCCCTAATTACAACTGGACATTCTTCCCACAGTGGACAAGGCTCTGTCCTTTCCCGGGACTCATCCCCTCACGGCCAGCCCTGCTGCTCCCAGACCACTGAGGCACAAACCTGCCTCAAAGCCTGCGCTCTCACCACTTGCCACTCTCTGCCTCCAGGGCTCCTGCACATGCTCAGCATGCCCTTCCCTGCCATCCTCTCTTCCTGGGATTTTACCTGGGACACAAACCTTCACCCACTCTTAACGCACGTTTCCTGCACATTGTCCTTCTCACTCACAGGTTTGAACAGAGGCTCCCTTAGGCAGGGTTTCCTTTGTTTTGCTCTCTCTGGGACTCAGCATGAGAGAACAGCCCTGGTGCCCAGTGGACATTGAGTAATTGAGAGACTAAATGTTCCTGCTTGTTCTCACATGACAAAACCTAGGAAGGTGTTTTGGAAATGAACTCAGCTGCCTTTGCAGGAAAAAACAACAACAACAACAACAACAAAACCCTCCAAACATACAATAGTAAGAGTCTGAAGGTAGAGGTTCCCTCAGCTCTTGGTCACCTGCAGCCCCAGGTCCTGCTCTCTCTGGGCCTTTAAACACCCACTTCTAGGCAGCAAAGCCAGTCTGGCCGTCCTTGGGAGTCTGGATGGGGACTGGCCGTTGTTCCTCACTCACCTGGCTGGTCTTCAAATGACACAGAACAAAAGTGGAAAAGTACCAGAAGTCACCCCGCCTCAGAGTTCCAAAATTTTAAAGAAAACAAAAAAGTTGTGCGCCGGTGGAGTAGGAAGCAGGATGCAGAGATCCCAGGGATGCGTGAATGCTATCTGACCAGTGTGCTCACAACTGAGGCACGAAGGTAAACAAGCTGGAGTCCTGGCAAACAGCAGGTACACAACCAAGGGTCACATACAGTTTGCCATTTCCAGCCCCCTGCCACCTCTGAGGTGGCCATTCCTTGTACAGACCTACACATGTCCAAGAGCCAGGACCGGGGACATGTTTCTCATCTCATCTACAAATGTCCATCTTACTGCTTGAGTTTAGGGCTGCCATGCTGTGGGCCCCTCATCTAAACACTCTGGCTGTTGTTTGGCTTTCTAAGACCAGATGCAAAAACTGCAAATAAAGGGCAATACAAAGAGAACAGAAAGGAAATGTAACTGGGGGAGTGAGGGCAGGGTCCTCGCATGGCTGACTACATCCCTCCGCGACAATCTAACAGGAGTCCAGACCCCACTGCTAGAAGCCCCTTGACATCCTGGTTAATCACAGAAGGACACCTGTCTTTCCCTCATGGCAGAGGGCTCCTCAAAGCATAGCTCTAGTATGGAAAAGTGACACAGAAAGTCATTTGCTGTATCAAGACCAAAAAAATGAAGCGGTCAATCAAATATACCCACCTGTGTCCCTGGGCTGGGGTTCCTACCTCCATGGCTTTAAGAGACAGGGACAGTGAGCCCTACCCTTCCCCACTGTACCCCTTGGGTGAGGGTAGTGCTTCGAGGTTCCCCTCTGTCTCTGCACACTGGAGTGCCACCTA